CTATTGTCGTCTTATTATTTGTTTTTTTTTTCTTTTTCCTTTTTTTTTTTTTGTCCTGACGGTTGGACGCATCGCGAATCCTTTTTTTTTTTTTTTCTAACGCGGCCGTTCAAAGCCTGACCTCTGCGCCCCCCACCCCGCTTCGGTGACTCGGGGACATTGCGTGCTCTGGGCTTTTCTGCACGCTTTGTGGTTGGCGTTTTTTTTTTTCATTTTTTATTTTTGTCTCGCTCCACGCGTCGACGACGTCGGCGCTGGGAGCAAAACCGAGGAGAATACACGCCGTGGAACGCATATTTTGCGCTGCAGGCCGTGTGCGTGGGGCCCGCCAGTTTCTGCTCACTCTGTTGCCGGGCGCGTTCGCCTTGTTGGGCTGTCGCACCTCGCATTGCTGCATCGCGTTCTTCTTTTCCCCTGCACTTTGGTACTGGGCGTGCTTGCGTGCCTCGCTGCGTGTGCGCGTGGCGGGGGCGGGGCAGTTGCGAGGTAAGCTGTTGTTTGACTTCCGCGGCTATCATGGCCGACTCCGCCTTGATGGGCCAGGAGAACGACGACGCAAGGGAGGCGGTGCGTCAGCAGCGCACGCTGAAGCGGAAAAAGGATGGCCTGCGGAAGCTGGAGAAAAGGATGAAGTCGAAAAAGGCGGATAGTGCGGAGTATAATTCGCTCGTGGAGGAGAGCCGGGCGCTCGCGGCGGAAATTGCCGCGATGGAGTCGGTGCTTGGGGCTGATGCGGATGAGGCGAAGGACGCTTCCTCGCTGCCGCAGACCGCCCCTGCCGCAACCGGCGACACGCGCGTGGAGAAGCCCCCTGCGAAGGGCGCCCCGTGCCCGATGAACGCCGCGCGTTCGACAACGGCAACTCCTCATGCACACAGCAAAGTGCGGCGCGGGGACGGCGGGAGGACGCCGGAGAGGAGCAAACCCGTAGACGCTGCCGCCAAAAGTGTCCCGGCGAGGAAGACGGCAGAGACGGCAGCGGCAGCAGCAGAGGCACTGCAACGCCAGCCAGAAGCGTCCTCGTCCGCTGCTGGGCGCTTTCCCGATGCCGTCGATGTTGTGGAGCCCGCCCAATCTCTTACAGAAGGTGTTCACTCCGAGGCATCCGGTTCCTTGTTTCCAGACTTGCGTTGCCAGCCGCCTTGTAACTGCGAGCTGGTGCATTATCAGGTTGCGGAGCTGGCCCTGCTGATGGAGTCCATGGTGATCGTTGGCGGCAGCGCGCGAACGCTGGCCATGATTCAGGCCTTCAAAGCTGTCCTGAGTACAACAACTGTTCTCTCAGTGCCGTCCCTTCGCGACGTGAATTCAAAGGCCTTTGAAGAATTAATTAATGAGAACTTTAACTTTCTTCGGCGTGGTCGCGAGCCGTCAACCGGAATGACGTACGTCAAGGAAGTTTTGGTCCGCCGTGTTGCCGCGCTACTTTCATCAGGAGGGAACTTTTGCGTGTGCGATGATGGATCCTTTTCCCCATTTGATTTGGAAAGACAAGGGCCACTGGAACTCAGTGGGTCTTCGCACGCACTCAATACGGAAGTGAAGAATAGCCTGCTTGCCGGAGACCCGCGGGAGATGGCGTTGCGGGTCCTCGCCGGCATTGAAACGGAGCTAAGACTGTCCATCAAGAGTATCGTCGAGGATCGCTCGAAGCCCCTCATTTCCTCCAATGATACCATCCTGGTTTTTGGGAGGAGCAGCATAGTTGAACTTATTCTGCTTGCGGCCGCCAATAATCCTCGGCTGGGTGTGAAGCCTAAGGTTATTGTGGTGGACGCCGCCCCACTTTATGAGGGTCGAGCGCTTGCGAAACGGCTTACGTCCAGTGGCCTCAGTGTGACGTATGGGCTTATTACAAGCTGCTGCACCCTAATGCCGCGTTGTACCCGCACCTTCATTGGTGCTGCAGCTGTCCTGCAAAACGGTGACGTCTTTAGCCGCTGTGGCACGGCCGTGGTTGTTGCTAGTGCAAAGCAGTACCGTAAACCGGTTTTGTGCTTTAGTGAGAGCTTCAAGTTTGTGTCCGAGGTCTGGCTTGGCAACCTCGGGCAAAACACGCAGTTGAAATTCTTGCAGCCACTTCCAGGGGATCATCGCATCCGAAGCCCCGGCGGGGTGGGTCCACCGAGGCACCAGGGTCGCGACATCAATGAGCAACCGCTGACGCGCGGCGTTGATGGGCTGGCCCTGCACTCAACTGCCAATTCTGCCTCCGGCTACTTGTACGACCTCACACCAGCGGCGTTCATCGACATGATTATCTGCGAGATGGGTTGCCTGGATACCTCTGCCATCGTCGCGGCGCTACGGGACCGTGAGGACAGGGATGCAGGCCTCATGTCCGTCGCGTAACGAGTCATCTATGAGGCGATAATGGTGGTGGACCAGCCATGTTGTCCGTCACTGCCAAGTATGGAAGGAAGCACCAACAACTGCTGCAGAGGCCAGCACCTTGTTTTTTTTTCTTTTCTGCACGTGTGTGTGTGTGTATGTTAAGCGAGGAGACGAGGAGGAAAAACATAAAAAAAAAGATAAGTGGGAGCCGGCAAAAGGCGCAGTAGAAAAGGGACAAGACGGATGATTCCTACATGCGTGCCTGGTGTGTGTGTGTGTGTGTGTTTTGCTGCTCTTTAGCAATGCTTTTTCCCTCCCCACTCTTGTTTTTTTTTGTCGTTGCTCCGCTTTCTTGCCTTCTGTGCCGAGGTGGTGTTTGCATTTTTTTTCCTGCGTGCGTTTCCCTCATCATTGCCGGGCTTCTCTCTCACTCTCTCCTGCCTTCTGTCCATTCCTTGCGTGCTGAATGCGTGTGCCCTGCCCCGTGTAGCCAAAGTGCCAATTCAGGCAGCTTCGCGGGTAGCATTTCTCTGACCCGTTACGTTCACCGGCGAAGTGGCCGACGTTGCTCAGTCGTCGTCGTCAACATTTTGGCCTCCCTGCGGAGAGGGTTTCAAACACATGCCCCGTCAAGCACCTTTGCGCAATAGGGAGGTCTTCGCCAAGCCCCTGGAGCACGGCGCGAGGGACGACGAGGTGGTGGCGCTCGCGAAAACAGGGCACGCTTCTGAGAAGTCCGTGTTCCCTCGGCGGGGGCGGAAAAAGGAACTGGTCGTTGATGGGGCGTCTGCGGCACACGAGTTCACGGAGGGCTCCTGCACCGATGGCCTCTCACAACTGGTGAAGCCGTTGCAGACTCAGTTGTCTGCTTTGGGTGTGGTGGAACGCTCGACAAGCCCCGTCTTAGCTGACAAGGGGACTCCAAACCTCCTTGACACAAAGCCGGCATCCCCAGCGGAGGGCGGAGATAGTATCGGCAGCGGACAGTGCTCATATTCAACAAGGAACGGTAGCGTGGCTTCCTTTGGGAACGTATGTAAGGAAAAGGAGCTTGTGGCTGCTGCGGAGGACAGTGAAGAAGAGGAACTGTGTTGCATTTGTTTGGAGGGCTATACTGAGGAGAATCCTGTGATGTATGGGGAGTGTAGGCACCATTTTCATGTGCCTTGTCTCATGAACTGGAAACAGCGCAGCAACGTCTGTCCAATGTGTGCTTCAGAGACGTTGAAGGGGCTGGCTGACGATGATGACGCGCCAGCTACTGTGCGTGCCGCGGATGAGGAAATTTTTGCAATGCTGTTGCAACATCAATTGGGGCGATACACGTTCCCAGGAAGGCGACATCGTCAACGTGGGTGTGTGCGCCCTTGCGGACATGAATTGGCTCCTCAAGACGCGGAACGCCATGCAGCAAGACGTACAAATGCCCCGCAACGTCAGCAGGATCGTGCAGCTGCGCTTGAGGAGCGTCAACGACCCGCGAGGGACCGTAGAGAGAACGGCACGCGGGCCAACGCTGCTGCTAGAAAGGGAACCCGAGGTGAAGCTGCTACGCGCGTTCGAGACATGCATGAAAGCGGTCTGGCTGCATTTTTCAATAGGGTCTTTTGTTGTTTTAAGAGGTGATGGCCTGTTAAGCTTCAGTCCGTCGACTTGCTTGTTATTGGAATGCGTATAGCTGAAATTATATATATATATATAATTGCAGGCGGGGGTGTTTGTGCTTTGCTAACGTGCGGGCGGTTATTGAAGGAGCCGTTGCTACTTCCTACACCGTACCTTGGGCGGAAGGTTCTGCGTTGACGGCGATTTGTGCGTCCATTACGACCAGTTTTTTTTTTTTTTGCGTTGTTTTTGTTTATTCGTGGTACGACCCCCGCAAGTTTGTGTAGAGTGGATCGAGTGCGCGTGTGCGTGTGCGTGTGGTCGCCGCAGAGGAGGCGGCGGCGTCGTAGGGGGAAAAAAAACGAAACGCAGCAAGCGAAGAAGAGTGAAAAAACGAAGCAAAACATGATGCCGACAGAGGCGGTGCATCATGAACCAAGTTGAGAGGGGGAATACGAGCAAGACATTGCTCAAGACGAGTCTTTTTTTTGTAGATTTTGCTTCGTTTTTCTTTGAGTGTGTGTTTTTTTTGCCCGGCACTTGGCGCAACCCTCAGCGGTGTCGCTTCGGGCTTCTCTCGTTTATATATGCGTCCACGAGGAAACCGCTCTTGCAGCTGCGGCGCGTGCGTGTGAGTGTGAGGGCATCCGTGCGACACCCGTTCGCGTGAGCCCGCCCGGCCGTCACGCGCGGAGGAAAGAGACGAGGAAATCCCACCGCAGCCCCTGCTGAGCGCGTGTTCGTGCGTCGTGTGGCGTGGGAATTGGAGGGGAGTGGCGGGAGAGCACGTGGGGAGAGGAGAAACCGAAGTAAAGTGGACACAACACAAAAGGAGACGATATAGAGAAGCCCTCCCCCACTGCCCTACTCCTCCCTCCTCCCCCT